TTTACTTCCTCAAGCGGACAAAACAACAGCTAAAGCGTACATGTAAACCCCGCTACAGCCTTTAAACTCTTATATAATCTAGCTAGCTAGACAGGAAGCCAGGGGCCTCCCCCCCCTGGCGTCTTTTGCCCCAACGGGGACTGAAGGGCACGTGACTTGCGTACGTGCCCGCCTAGACGTTAAATAGACACACACACACACACACACAGCCTAAGCATCCCTATTTGCTATAAGAGATATGATAGTGCTCAACCTGTCAGGGCGCCGCCTGGTCTTCACTCATCACATGCTCACACGTGATTCGTGACAGAAGCGTAATACGACAATCAAGGGACAGTTATCTTTTACTAATACTTATATTTTTAAAATTATTATATAACGGTTATACGATGGTTGTAAAAACCCCGGGCTCTCCTTTAAGGCATCGAAACTAGAATTACTGTAGTTTAATTTAATTCCACTCGAATTACTCGATGACATATTATTATCATTCCCATTCTCGTTCTCGTTCATACGTCTTGTTTCTTAGATGGCTCGTAGGGATGTTGTGTACGTATAGTGTAGTATAGTATAGCTATAATGTTTTGTATATGTATACGGAGTACTGGGTAAGTTAGCATTGTTATGTTGGGGTTATAGTATTTATTTTGACCTTGGAGTGGCTTTCTTTGTTTGATTGGAAGTTGTTGGGGTTCGTACGGCTGTGGTATTCTTGAAGGATTTATTGAGTAAGGAAATTTTGGAGTCTGGGGATGGGGAAGATGGTGTAATTCTTGCCATCTTATTTTAGAAGATGGGCAGGTCTTATTGGATTGCACGACACGTCGCTTGTAAGGCTATATATATGTGGAGTGCAGTGGACTTGCGTAAGATTTACCATTGAGGCCGAATACACTACTGAGAGAGAGGAGAATTGTAAATTCGGTTACTTGGTGAATGGTGATTGGTCTTAGTATTCTTTTTCGAGTTTGGAATGGAAGAGGGAAAGATCTAGGAAGTGAAGTACGTGTACAGACACAGCCGCCATGGGTTTTGCGTTTGTGTAACGGTGGAAGGGATTGGTGTTTTTCTGAAAGGTGTTTCTGACGTATGGGAAGAGTTATACAACCTACTAAAGAGTTTGGGAGCTGCGACTTGGTTTTTTTGTGGGGTGTGCTGGGAGGTGTTTCTTGTATGGTTTTCTGATTTAGATTTGCTTTTTCTTTGGTAGGTGGGTGGGTGGGTGCGCGGGCTTGGTGCATGTTGTATGGTAGTTGGAAAGATACTTGGTAGGATGATTAGATGGGTGGAAGGTCTAGATGGAAGGATTGATGTATGAAGAATTGACCCTGTAAAATTGGGAAAAGGGGTTATATATTCAACATCGTTGGTGGGATGGTACGGTCCTTCTCCAGGTTTAATGGTGGGTTCTTTTTGGGTTCTAAATATACCCATGAAGCGCACTTCACGGCGTTATCGCAGGAATTATATGAATCAACCAACCGAAGAAGCCGTATCTTGGTACGAGTGTAAATCCTGTTTTGATAAGTGGTCGATGGAGGCGGTGTATAAATCCATTATAGGTTTGTCCTTGGCTTCTCTTCACTTCTGAAGTACGACTGTAGTGCCGTTAGGAGTTTCCCCGAGTTCTGAAGTGTAGCTGTACAAGAGTAGAAGGTGAGAGTACCAAGGTAAGATGATACCATTATTGGCACCCTGGTATTCGTTAAGCGAGATGGCACAGCATCATCACCTCACCACCATATTCATTTCAGAATCGCGGAACGATAAATTGCACATCCATTACGAATCGTTTGTTCCTAATTTATATAACATCTGATACTCAAAATGTATAGATATGTTAAATGTTATATTACCTTCCAAACTAAGTGCGGCTATAAAGAGCGGAGAAATTCCAATCCGCGCGCGACCAATTATGAGCCACGAGAGAATGATCACTTGCATACTGCATGTGACGAAGATGTACCGGCTCCCGCATGACGAGTATTTAAGCTGGGGTCGACCAACCTCTCTCACTAATTCCCACGCGACGACGAGGATGAGATTTTGTATTCACCAGTCCATGAGGGTTACAAATTGCTGATCGAGAGCACTTTACCCAGCATTCTTGGCGGGGAATTGGATTGGTGTGTGTGGTTATGGGTTGTGCTGGTGTTGTACAAGATACGCAGGCTGGGTAAGTAAACGGTTAAATGGGAGCCGGATGTTTGGGGTATCCCGCTGGGGGAGTGTATATATGTTTGTGGATTGGATTGTTGTGGTGATATACTTCATACCATCTAATTCGATCCTCTACAACTCGAGAACTAAACTGCGATATCATAACTACACTCCACCCTGTTCTAAAGATGTATTTCCTCCACCTACTCCTTGCCTTCCTTCCCCTCGTTCTTGCTTTGCCGTTGGAAAGGAGATCAGACGCCTTCTACGGACGCGGCCAACTCATCGTCAACGATCAGAATGGTGCGGCGATAGGATGTCTGATCAGAACAGGAGAGTTTACTGCTGATATGTCGGGATGTGCTGTTTTTACGGGCGATAAGAAAGTCATTCGTTAGTTCCTCCATCATCTTACCACTCTCTATTTCTTTCCTCTTTCCTATCTGCTTCCACTCAGCTCCCTTTCCCGGAGAATGAAAACTGGAACTTCGTAAAAGAGAATAGGAACAGGATTTATCTGATAGGATATAGCTCAACCACCACCCCACGACAAATACGGAACTATATACCGCACTTTAAGCAACGAACTCGGCTACTGCGGTGCACCGGTCTTGGGACCTTACCCGGCCATATCACCGATCGTGTGCAGTCCGACGATGGATCCCGTTGTTGAGAGTTACTGGCTTTTATATCTCTCCTTCGATCTCTGTCCTCGTTTTCTCCTCCCCCCCAGCTCAAAACCTCAACATGACCCCAAAAACAGGCCAGTGCGCTGATAGTAGACTAGATCTCAACAGGCCAAAATGCCAACCTCGGAATCCCCATTTTGGAATATGCAAAAGTCGATTTTACGACGCTTTACCAGACTCTGGATGGGGAGGTGCCGGTTTATGGGGGGACGAAACAGGTTACGCCGGTTTATGGGAATAATGGTAATAAGGGGGCTAAGTATGTTATTGTATGGAAGGCGGTCTAATATGGAGAAGTTTTACGTTGATATTTGAGCTTGGGGATTGGGTGCTGAGGAGATCTGGGGAAATGAGATACTAATCAATTACGTTACTGGAATATTCAACCTGATAGAATATCGTGCTTGAGTTTGGAGTAGTCTTGGTGCTTACGAACCTATGATATGTTTAAGAATCTTTCAACTTTAGCTTACTGTATGTGACACTCCCTTCAAGGTTGTCAAGGATGAAGATAAATTCAGTTCAATGGAGATGTGTGGACAAAGAAGATTTATTAAAATGAGATCAACTAGGTATCATGTGAGGTCCAATATTACCGCGAAATCTCGAAATTTTGTCGTTCTCCCATTCCTTGTATTATTCCAGTGGTGATCCCAAGCAATAGTAGGTGACCGATACAAAAACCATCAACAGCTCCATTCCCTTTAAGGAAGCCCTTCTTCAAAGGTCCCTAGAAGCTCAACAGCTCAGCTTATCTGTTATACTCCTTACTTTCTATTCAAGTGTCTCGGTTTCACAAAGAGATAGTCCGTTCTATAGAACGGACTATCTGGGGAGGATTCGCCTGTGTCGTCCGTCGTAGTAAAGCAAAGCAGAAGGAACCACGCGATTTAAGTCGTCTCCGAACCTAAATTTCATGACTCCAGTGTCTTTATTATACACAACCTTTCCGCTGTTTGGTCCCAATCTAAAGGTCATGACTCCTGTCATCTCATTATACACAACCTTCTTTCGATTCTGTCGATCCAGCGGTTTTGCAAAGACAATCTTGCCACCTGACCAATTGCCCGCATGCTCCGCAACCCCACGATTGATTCTCAAAACTGGTGGATCTAGAATCCGCGGAGAATTTTTGAAAAAGTCTTTGGCCGCTTGAGTCGCTTGGCCTCTTGCCCAGTCGATGTATGCCGGTATCGGTACTCCAGGATCCAATACATTGCAGTATTGGTTCACTTTCATCTGAAAGATTCCTTTAGCATAAGAGGAGGCCCAAACCAAGGAGAGGCATGCTCTGAGCTTCTCAAAATCCCAAACGTTGAAATCCCAGATCTCGCCGCCCACAGGTACTCCACTGAAGCAGCTCTCTCCCTCTCGGTCCTGGTATATCCCCGCTTGATGGATTGGGCTATGTCCTTCGCGTTCCCAGATGTCAGATACCTCCTCTACCTCCCGATATTCTCTGTACCAGACACGATGGTTACGTAGCCGTCTGCTGTACATTCTGGGGCATACTAGTACCACTAACTCACGTAAATTTGGACAGCCAAACGGCGCGTAAGGAGCTCGGTGGTGGAGTGGAATCGCTAGTGATCGGATGCGGAGAGCTATGTCCTGTTTCTCATCTCCGAGGAGGTCTTCAATAAGCTGATTCCACTGCGAGAAAAAGACAGTATCGATTTTGAAGTTGACGATCATTGTCGGAACCAAGTATCCAGAGCCTCGGACGTGTCGCAGCATCTGGAAGAATTTCATTGCCTCGTAACGTGATTCACGATTTACATGGAAAACGGGCGGGATTTGTGTTGTCCATGTGTAGCTAGGAAGACCCCAGGGCTGCTGTCGGCCTTCGCGAGGCACAAAAACCTCGACGATCCGCGGCGTCTTTAGATGAATGCTCCATATTCTGAGACGTAGCTCTGGAGGCAAGGAAGGAAAGCGGGTGAACTCCTCAGGGGTTTCTGGTGTGTCCATGTTGATCTGGTGTGAGGATGGTGGTGGTTTGTAAGGAGTTGAAGATCGAGTGTGCTCGAGAGTTCAACGCGTTTTCGAGCCATCCCACCGTAAGCAGCATTATTACTCCGCGCTAAGCATGTCCAAGTGAATAATGATTCTCTCGCTTGAGCCAACGAACTGTCAACTAAGCGACCACGTGATATCCCTCCCGACCACACCTGCAGAGGAGCACTCAAAGGAGCTTCGATGACTTGATCGAACTCAGACTCAAATACTTGGGAACCCACTCTGCTTGGCCAAACGACTTTGTTTCGCGGGGCAAATGTTGCAGAAGTGGACTCTCTTACTCCATTTCGAGTGCACGTTTTCTTTTGTAAGTAGGTACCTCCGTGGTCTTGGAAGGGAACATCGAATATCCTTTCTCGGGGTATCCACTAGAGCTTTAATCTGATAAATCCTCTGGCATTAATCTACCATATTTCAGGACTGCCTATCAACTGTTTTCTACTTGATTGATAGGAAAATGAAGGTGTCACTGTATAAATGGTCTTTCTTACAACCCTAATGTAACATTTGTGGTACGTCTGCAGCAGCTGAGTTACTGCAGCTTTCTAACGTCAAGTCAAATTCTCTAGGATAGCATACCATATTTAGCCAACTATTTCCAATCGCAGATTGACCTGTAACACCAAAAACAATGCGCGGGCTCCAACATCGAAGATGGAATCTAAACTTGAATTCAATGATTTGTCATAGTCCAGACGTCAGTTCAGAAGTATCTGTGACTGTATATAACGCAAGGTTCTGGAAGTGACTGTATGTAGCCTTTGGTCACTGTACTGCATAGTTTCTGTCATACTTCTAGAACATCAAAATACTGTATTCACGATCATATTACTCGTGCCTATTTTAAAAATTACACAAATCTTTCAAAGCTTGATGGAATCATCATCTGAAATGCTTGTTATGCTTGATCAGCTACAAACTCCGCGTTACTGCACCCTTGATGTCGCCATTTTCGCTTAGCAGGCTGTCAGGTCGGTGGAGTGTTCTTGGCGGGCTGGTGTGAAGGTTAAGTTGTGTCGTGTAAGTATGACTGATCTTCGTGACAATGGCGATAATTATTGTATTAGTCTTAACTTAATCTTTTCCCTTGGTCACTAATTTCTGGACCAGGTTTTTTGTATTTCTGGAAATCGCGGCAACACACTGCTGAACTGTGTGGGCTTCTTTAGTATCGTTTATACATAGGAGATCCTTCTGTGTAAATCTCCCTTCTTTGCCAGGCCACGAACCTCTTGCCTCCATACTATGTCCGCTGTCAATTAAACGCCTCACTTCGTCTTTCATATGCATGTAGAAAGCGAGATGCAGCTGCATGATGCCTTGGAAATGACGGTCTCCTCTCGCCTCATGCCAGCCCAGGAGTTCCAGAGCAATTTCTAGAGCATCTGCCCCTTTTGTGGTCTGCCACGTTGCTACTGCCATTTTTTGCTGGGAAGTTCTGGGCTCCTCCTCCTCGAGGACGGAAGACCAGTGTTTTCCACATTAACAAATCATTTGGAGGGGTAAGACAGTGCTGAACTCACCCTCTTCATTTACCTCTATAAAAGGGACGCTCGCATCGGCACCTGCATCAAGGAGTAGTTTGACAGCTCCGGTGTTGTGTGAGACGGTCGCGTACTGAAGCATCGTTAAGCCATCCTGATTGGGCGAATTAAGGCATTGTGCCTCCCATCCACACGAAAGTGCGACCCGAAAGGCCTCCAAAGTCAGTGGATGACTCTTCACGCACATAGCAAGCAGTCTGTGCATTGTAGGCACAAGTACAGCATCATCGAAATTGTCTTCAAAGGAGTTTGATTTGCCTGCCAGGGCCAGGTGCAACAGCTCTGGGTCCATGGTGATAACATAACAATCATCCGACGGAAGGTTGTCAACCTTGGCACCATACTCGAGCAATGTCATCCACATCTCGCGGGATGTCGTGGAAGATGCAGCGACACAGAGTTCTAAGGGTGACATTCGTACTGGCCCCTCTGTAAGCGAGTTTGCACTCACTCCTTTCTCAAGCAGGGTACGCATATAGGACACATGGCGATAGGCAATAGCCAGATGCAGGAAGTTATAGGATCTGTCTGTTCCAAAAGCGTGCTCGCTAAGCTCGGCGACCGAAAATTTGTTCACAATCAATCTTAGGATATGGTCCCAAGCTGGGTTGTTTCTGAATATGTGAAAACTTGGATGTAGGTTCGACATAGACTCTTGGAACTCGCGCTTGATCACTGATATAGGGCAAAGCTCCAGCAAATATTCTAGTACCTTGATATTCGACTGAGCTCTTGCCACAACGAGGGTATTTAGGATGGCTGGAGAATGGTCGATTAGACCAGATATAGCACAAATCTCAATGGTACGCTGTATGGCCAATGGACCGCTGTGTCCGTGAGCAATCCAGTGCCGGAAGGGGCGGAGGATGACAAAGGAAATTTGCTTATAGCCAGGAGGCAGGATAGCACGTCTCGTATCATCGCAGAGAATATCGGAGGCAATTTCATAGTAGTAGTGTGAGAGCGCGTATTGGATTCCAACGTGGTTTTTAGAATGGGGAAGCAAAGCATTGACAAGGGTACGGTTTCGTGTGATAACAGCCCATTCCAGGGGTCCACTTTCGAGGACGATGTCATGAGCCTTGAGCTCAAATCTGTCTGATAAATGTCCGTGGTGGCGCCGTGCGCAATGAGCAAATTTACAGCGTCCTGAATGTCGGCGCTTGCAAAAAAGATCGAGAGATGCAACGGTGTGATGTGTTGAAAACTGGGACTCGACGCATTCGCACCTCTTTCCAGAACAAGCCTCAGTGTCGACAAATGGCCGCCTACACATGCGTAGTGAGCAACAGTGAAGCCTGCTGCTGAGAGAGCACCAATATCATTATTGCAAAGTATTTCAGCTATTATCATGTCCTCACCCAATAAAGCCGCGACATGAAGTGGCAAGAGGTCGTCCGAAATAAAAAGATCAGTATGAAGTTGTATACCAGCAAACTTTTCCGAGCACAGCTGACCAGCTTTTGTTAAATCATTTTTTATGTGATCCACAAATTCCTTGTTTTCTAGCCGGATCCTATTCGTGAGGTACAACTCGGTCGGGATAGAAGATTCAATTACTGCGCCCTCCACAGCGTAGGGGGGCCAATGGCCTCGTGGACCCTATTGTACCAGCAGCTAGCTTTAGTATGTCCTTCTAAAGATGCTATATCCAGCCAATGTAGGACGTCGGTATTGCTGTATGTGGTGCCGAAAGCAGTCGCGTAGCACTCGGACACTGTCATGGCGGCGTGGGCGCGTATCTCATATGATGCTATTGGTGAAATCGCCAGTGCCTTGAGTTCCTCCAGAGCATGCTGCTGTAGACCAAATGAATGTTCTGGCCCAAGGAACAAGCGTCCCGCTTTGGACGTGACGTCTAGGAGCTGCAAGCGTAAGGGAAGGTCAGTTACATTTGAGTGGTAGGCGGCCACTGAGTTAGATATTATAACCCAGAGATTAGTTCAAGCGGGAAAGGAAAAACTGACTTCGATTAAAGAATGCTGGGTTGTCCAACTCGTTAAGCTATCCTTCGCCTTTGAAGTCTTACGACCGCCAGAATTAATCTCATTAGCGCCATCCACGGTTGCTCTGTGAGTCGTGGTCAGGGCACGCTAATCGAAGCAGGTCTTTGGCAACCCAAGAGGAACCCAAAAGGAATTGACTTACGCTGACGAGTTGCCTCGGGTATGCATCATCTCTACAACTGCTGAGATATCCTTCCTTTCTGAAGGTTCATCCTGCAGGCAAGCATCAAAACCCCGAGTCATGTGTTGAAGAAGCTCTGGCTCCAAGTTCACAACTGAAAGAAACTTGTGACCATAAAAGAGCAATATGTTGTGAGGGAGAGTGTTTAGGATTGCCTCCTTCTCTGAAAGTTCAGCTGATCCGCATCCCAGCCACGTCTCATCCAAAAACGACCAGCCATTCTTGATGACCTCCCACAAAAGAAGGCCAAAAGAAAACACATCAGTTTGGAGGGCCGCCCCGATATCAAAATATCGTCTTGTCGCGGGGGAGTTCCGAACTTCAGGTGCATTCAGCAAGGGAGTTCCGTTGGGGCATTGTACCCTCGCTTCTGGGTGATCTTCCCAGGCCATCGGCTCTAGACACAGCCCCAAGATATCGACGATATGCGGGTGCTGGCGTAGTCGTTCATGCGACAGGATACGCAGCTCGAGCGTCGCCTGGGCAAAATGTGTATCTACATTGTGTATATGTTTCGCTCGTGAGCGCTTGACTGCGACTGAGGTGCCCCTAATGGTGCGGCCAACCTGCACTGCAGCGTGAGCACCAGTCCCTGCGACCGGAGGAGGCGCCTCTACAAACCGTAGGGACAGATCTGAAGGAGAATATATGACGAGCTCGGCTGAGAGAACTGCTGCAAGGAAGTTGAGGCTTGTTGACGAGGCAGGTGTAGTTGTGGGCATACGACCATCCAGCTGGGAATTCGAACTCGAGAACCCAGAACCAGAACGGGTCGCCCAGAATGACAAAGACATGGGCTTGAGGCTGTGTATAGTGGAGTGTTTGGAACAGGCTGTGAATGAGTGCGTAAAGTATATATGTAAGACCAGTAATAAGTATATATAGGTGGCGGCGGTCGTAATCTCAGAAGGCGGCTACATATGACTTAGTGAGCTTGTTATGCCTGCAAGGCTACGACTCCATCAATGCCTCATCTGAATACTAAACCCTCTTCATAATCATAGATGGTGCTTATACGACAAGTGCCGCCATCAACCTTCTCAAGTGAAGAACATCCTGTATTCGTGAGGAGGCCCGAACATGACATCTCATGAGACCCAGACGGCCATCTCGGCTGCGTTGACAAAATACCAGCCTCGTCGGTCTCAGCGATATTAAGCTGTCAATGTGCTTCTGATCGCCTGGGACGATGATGATATCGGCTGTCATGTCGAAATGGAAGAGCTCGGCCAACTTTTCAACGGGGTCTTTGGTTATGCTATATGGCCATACAGGATTCCTTCCTTGGATTCTCAACGAGCGTTGGGCGTCTGTGTAGCAGAGTTTGTAAAGTCGTTCGGGGGAGACGACAAGCTGATCATTGTCTATTACGGGGGCCATGGTGGCTTGAATGTGACTTCAAAGAGTCCCTGTACCTGGGCAGCGTAAGTCGTTGGCCTAAGAGATCACACTCCCAAAATATCTGACACTTGGCCTACAGACTGGTTCAAGGAGGGCCCACAGTGTACAGGTCTATTATTCAGCCTCTTTTATTTGGTGCTGGTTGCGATGTTGCAATCTTCCTGGACTGCTGCTTTGCCGGACAGGCTGCCCGATCCCACACTTCTCATAGCATCGAATTTCTTGCTGCAACCGACAAAGACCAAATGACACCAAGCGGCAGCAAAACTTGGCCATCCTTTACCAAAGTTCTCATGCACGAGATGGAGAAAATGACGAGGGAAGGGTTTTATATTACTCTCCCCGAGCTGGCGCGGCGGCTGGTTGCTGCTGACTCTGGACTCCGACGCCAACCATTCTATGTCCCTCTGGGTGGAAGCAACTCCGTGGGATCTATCACGCTGTCGAAGCTACAAAGACCGACAGAAACCTCGAATAGTGAAGACCAGATACTGTCTGCAGCATCGCTTTCTATTCGACTATCTCTTTTCAGCCAACTTGATTTGGGAACTGCGGAGGCACTTATCAAATGGATGACAAGGGATTCGCCTTCCCATATCTCCAACATACAGCTAGCTGACCAGGTCTTGACTGATGCCACGGGGGCCAACGCCCTTGGCCTCGAACTTATAAATCAGCGGCCCCAGGACGGTAATATGTTGCCATATCTGAGCAAGGAGGGTCAACTTGAGGCCGCAAGGCTTTTGCACGCTCTCAAAACCGCCCTGTCACACCCCAGCTCCCCGCAACTAACAGACGTTGAGGCAACGAGTATTCTTAGTAACGTCCGACAGAAGTCTCTCAACTTGATGGATTTCATTTCTGACTCCCTCTCAAATTTTGGAAAGTGGTCAGCTTGATAAGATGAGGTCGAATACTACTTGCGAGACAGAATCCTTGAAGGACCGGATTGCGATGCGTCTGAACTTACTTGGAGAGGACGTTCAAGCGAATAACATTCGAGTGAGCTTCGAGTCCCCTTCAAAGCAGGATCAACGGCTTAGGGGAGGCAAAAAGAATGGAGTGTCAGTTCTTGTCGAGTACTACTACCCTCAGATTGAAGATGAAAAGGCCTGGGCAGACCTTTCCCAGCAGGTTGCCAAAGTTTCAGCCCTGCAATGCGAGCCGAAGGGTGAAAACTTTCGAATTCTTCCAGGCCTTGGCTTCTTATCGGAATCGCTCATTGTGCCAAGATTTGGATTCGTTTACAAGCTCCCGGAGAACAGACTTGGCTGCAAGTATATTTTTCTTTCTGACCTCCTTGACCAGGTGAAAGTGGTTCCACTGAATATCAGGGTACGAACCGCATCGGCGTTGTGCGAGGCCGTGATAAATTTGCATTCTGTTGGCTGGTATCATAAAGGCATCAAAAGTGAGAACGTCATAATCTTCGAATCAGCAGCGAGCTGCAACACCGAGTCAAAAGATACATATGTCCGATGGGACTTTGCAAATCCTTACTTTGTCGGTTTTGACTGTTCTAGACCAGCAGAAGCTGAGACCAGAGGCACCGTCGACTTCTTGATAAGAAGCAATATTTATCGCCATCCAGAGCGATGGGGCAGATCAATGCGGTTTGAACGACATCATGATCTCTATGCACTGGTGAGGGATCTTAACAGAATGTCCTCTGAATAAGCTGTAAAGGCGCTGACAATCTTCTCAATTTTAGGGCATTCTACTTGTTGAGATTGCTTGCTGGAAGACGCTTCCGAGTATGGACAGCAAGCGATCCAACTTTGACCACATCCAGAATCCCGAAAAGCTGATGAGCTTCCTGCTTCGAGTGGCAGATGAAAAGGTCTCCCATGCCGCTGGAACAGAGTATGCCGAAGGGCTCCGTAGTTGCCGGAACTCTAGGGAGTGGAAACAGTATGAGAACTGGCAGTTCCAAAACCTAGTCCGGGATAAAGTGTTGCGACCACTACGCGCACTTTCTGGTGATCATATCTAGAATTGGTTTGGCTCAGGTTTTCAGTATGGGAAGTATCTTAGATCATGCTCGCCGGGTGGTTTGAAGAGGGCTGGAATAAAGCTAACTGTATTCGAGTATGTATTCGAAAATTGTTTGGCACATTTGGTGGATTTCTTGAGACTAAGTGGCGGATTAGTCGTAGCACTAGTAAAAGAGGTGAGTTGAGAAGAGAACTCCAGGAATATTCTAAGTTTTGAATCTTTGTAGGAACATGGAAAGGTGTTTCTTGTTGGTGGGGACTATATGAATATTCCATGAAAAAATGCGAGCCAAACAAGCCCTGAGTCCTTTTCAGGTTTCCACTAGCTTTCAATGGAAACATTCAAAAGTTGAATCCTACACCAAATCAAGTTTCATTGAGAACAGGTATCCCCACTGATGAAGACCGAGAGAAGAGTAGTGTATCTAGTGTGTTATGTCGCATTAGTTGCAAACCCCTGCTCAACCTTGGATTTGAGGAAACTTACGTGATCAGTGCCAGTAACAAGTTATATGTGGATGTATTCGTTGCCCAAGTGACCATGAACGACGCAGCAAATGTGGAAATACAGTAGATGACGGATCTAGATGAGCTGTTGCCAACGTAGACCAGCAGCATTACAGGAAATACCAAGCATATAGGAAAAAGCACACTGAGAATTGTTTTGGCAACGTGACCAAGGAGCTTTGGGTGGCAGAGGAAGATGTGAGGATCTTCAGTCTTTGACTAAACATGCTTGTAAGCAGGAGCTACAAAAACTATATTTAAAGTTAGGTTTGTCTCACATGACTAACAGAGAACTAAAATCATAATGTGTTAAATAAGTTCCCACCAGAGTCCATCTATATTTTGAAGTATGACTTACTCGGTTTGCAAGACCTGGGAAGTTTTGGACAACCAGATCAAGAAGCGCCTCCATCCCAGCTTTATCATGCTCGTTCGTGCCAAGAATTACATACTCGTCGCCTTCCAGACAATTCAAATAACATGCACTCTCGGAACGAACCAATGGCTTATTCCCAATAAACCAGTTATACACACTTTGGTGTTGCCTTACCTGGACCTCTGGGAGTCGTAGCATGTTGGTGAACTCCTGGACAGCCTTGTCCAGACACCCATAAATTACTCCGTCAGCAATGAAACTAGTGTTTAGGTAGGGGGCCAGTCTCGACGGAATCTACTTACCATAAGTCTTCAATTGGCGATGTATCTGTACCAACAAATCTCGCCTCTGGTGGTTGGTATCCTGCCGGCAACTACTTAAACCTAGCTGCGTGGTCTCCGCGTCATCGCAATCATTCAGCTGATTTTCAAGTTCTGATAGTCGATCTTGCTGTTCGATAAGGCTTCTCATGTGCAGGTAGTCAAATCTTTTCAGAATTCTGAAGTTTCTGTTCTGGCTTTGAAAGGCGGCGAGACGTGGATAGCCTTGTTTATAGTCCTCCACTACAAGATATTAATGGACTCGGAATTCCATGAGATATTCAATTGGATAATACCTTTGACCTTTAGGATTGGTGTCTGGATTAGCATCCTGGTGGACATTTTCTGATGAAAGTTTTGTAGAATGCAATTGATTGGTAGGTGTGTTCTGTTGGATTCTCAGTGTTCACTGGCACCCTGATTAAGCAGCACCTTCTTATATGGTACGACACAAGACCAGACGAACCACACCGAAGTATACAGTAATGGTAATGCTATTGGGTATCCTTGCATCGTTCATCACACATCTAGAGGGCGTTTCAAATTTGTCTGGCCACGGAGGCTGTACACGTGATAATCACTGCCTTGTTCAACCTACCCAAAGTAGGGTAACAATGCTGCCTAATGACTATTTATAACAAGCCTTTTCAAATCTCCGACATTAATCTCCAGGCGGAAAGAGCACAAGCAGACTTTGGAAGCTGCAATTTCATAACCGAGTAGATACAGAGCACTCACGCAGCTCTAATTGAGAATGAAAAGATTACAATCTCTATTACTTACATATATACTTGAATTAGGTGGTGGTCTCACAATTCTGGTGGCAGTATGACAAATCGAATCCGTTGAGTGGGTGCAGTACCACCAGTACTGTACTGTAATGCAAGCGGCGCCTGCGGGTTCGCTGTATGAGCTACCTCTACCCTGACGCAGAACGAAGTAATTATCCTGGAAAAACAACAACGAAAGCTCATCCACATTCTGCTAACTACCCTGCATTCTTCAAAGCGACTCAATACGAAGCTCACACTGTGCAAGTCTGTCCTCCTTTGAGGTAAAGCTAAGCTGATTTTTCTTTGCGATTCTCCAAAGAGACATCGACAAGGCTAGCAAACTCAACAAAATGGAGCCTCGAGCGGAAGAAAAGCAGGAAAAGGTCGAGGATAACGTCCAGGTATACTGTGCTTTTAGCATGATGTAGTGGTAGAATTTCACTGACTGTTATACGAGCAAAACTCTCGGTGGATGGGGACGAGGAATGGCGAGCGTATGTAGCAAAGTATGATAACCAAACCGACGTAAGTGTAAAAGCCAATGTGGTTTACGGAAAACTTGAGCTGACTGTTGCTTGCTTGTTGCTAGTATCCTTTCGAAATTAATGACATCGTGTGGATTGTGAACCCCACTTACCGCTCTCCTTTAGGAGAATTTCGCGTCACCAAAGCTCTCCCAGACGACAAATTCGAGTTGGTCAAGGTCTCTGACGGTAGTCTTCATCCAGAAAAGGTGAATTCGAAGTATTTACGTCGGGATCCAGGCATTGCTTAAAGGTCGGAGAGATCGACATGCTTTATATGCGTCTAGAACCTATACACAGTTTCTAGGCATAGTGAAGGCCTGCAGAGCTCTAAGATTGGCTTGATGGATGGGGTTAGCCTCTCTTCAAGGCTGAAAATGAACTGATCTATGCCGAACCAGTATTCATGCGCTGCTGCTACTTTGAAAGTGTCGACCTAATCTCTTCAGCTGTAAATACTAGTGTTTGGCGCGAGAATCTTTTTCGTTGTCCAGATACCATGTGTAGCACTATCAAAGATTTGACATTGTGGCTCTCCACAGGACCACAGCTTCGGCAGTACATAGAAGAATTAACTCAGCTAAACTCCCCACAAGAGACAGGGGTATTTAAAAGTACTTAATATTAAGTAAAATAATTATAAATAAGTTAGATACAAACAACTTATATAGTTGTAATAATATTATATTTTCCAAACTTCTCGCTGTTATACCTTCCCTGTCTCGCTTATATTTCTTTTATCCACCATTACCACAATCCTATCAGCCAATGCTAATAATAATGAATGAAATAAAACAGGTCAAGCGTCCAAAATTGATAGTAGACAGTATAAGGCGGTATTTGGTTTGAGAAAACATAAAGAGCTACCTATGTAGAACACTTGTACTTGCTCTTGGACCTACGAAAGCAGAGAATATGAAGGCTCTTTCAAAACAAGTAGCTAGTGCATTAGAGTGGGGAACAGACGAGGGTATTACCTTTGATGCTGAAAAGTCTGAACTTATCCACTTTTCTCGTAAGAGAAAGCAAAGAGGTAGAGGCATCCGGCCTCCTCCATCTATTGTCATAGAAAACAGGACAATAGAACCGACACAAGAGCTTCGATGGCTCGGTATCTTCTTTGATCCCCATCTTACCTTCTACAGCCATGTTAAAAGAATGACAAGTAAGACTACGTTAGTAGCGAACGCTTTAAAAGGGACAACAAACACAGCAAGAGGCTCTCCATCCCACTTGCTGAAGCAAGCTACCACTGCTTGTATTCTGTCAATCGCCTACTTTGGAAGCGAGACCTGGTTCCCTGGGCGGTCTAGGGTTAAAACAGGCCAAGTAGGAACTACAAACAACCGAACTGGCCGTCACTTGACTCTCTTAGACAGAGTAGTGGCTAAGTGTGCTAGGATTATTCTTCCGGTGGATAAGACTACTCCTACCTCGATACTGCTCATGGAATCTGGCCTTCTAGCCTCTGAAATTGCTCTTATAGTAAGAAGCGAAGCACTAGACGCCCGAATCTGACGGCTAGATCCGGACCACCCACTCAAACGATGTGTAAATAACCCTAGCCCTAAAGCTAGGCTTATTTACCGTGCTCGGAGAATCCTTCCTCCCTCTGAAGAGATTGACCCTATACAAGACCCTCCATGGAGCAGGGGTTTTGACCGACAAGCCCGTCTTCTAGAGGTAGGGGGACCAGACCCTAGCGGAGACAAGAATTCCTTTAAAGCCAAATTCCTTGAATTTCTAGCTGATGTTCCACCTATGGATCTGGTAGTATTTACCGACGGCTCTCGCTTAGACGACAAAAGTACTGGAGGTGGCGTATGTCTCACAAGAGGGGGGGTTATTCTTAATACTAAGGCTTTCTCCTTCGGCAAGGCATTGGAGATATATGATGCAGAGGCTAGGGCTGCTCTCCATGGACTAGAACTAGCTTCAAACTCCCTGTACTGGCCTTCGGCTAGGAAGTGCTGGATTTGCCTCGACAACCTTGAGGCTGCGCTTCAACCAACATACCGGTCTTGTGGCACAACGCAAGGGATCTTTAATACAGTCCATGAGTTAGCGTCATCATACCCTGGGAAAATACAGACTAGGTGGTGCCCTAGTCACATAGGTATCCTAGGCAATGAAATCGCGGACAGAGCTGCTGGGAAAGCAGCGCGGATACCCCCTTCTAATTCCCTCTCTCCACTTTGTACTGCTACGCTCAAGAGGGGGGTTCAAGAAACAGGGATTGGACTTGCAAAGAAGCTCTGGAGCGCTACACTCCCGGCTGTCTATAAGGATCTGGGGCTTGAAAATTGGTCTTTGAAGCCACGGTCTCTTCAATTACCAAGAGAGGTTCTAGCTCGCTTAATAGCTGCTCGTTCTGGGCATGGAGACTTTGTCGCTTACCACCTTCGCTTCTTTCACTTCGACGCATTACTTACCTCAGGGGATTGTAAGTGTAAGAAGGCTAAGTCTCAATTCCACCTACTCTTTTGTAGGCTAGCAAACAACGTAGCCCCTAGGCTACTAGCAGAAGCTCAGAGGAACCCTCAGCTGCTCTTCGGCCCCGGCTGCGAGGAGCTATTTAATAAGGTCTACTTTAAGACTAGATTCTTCACTAAGATTTGTCTACCTAGATAGGCTGGCCTACTTTTCTTTCTTTCTTTGATTTATGTATTTCACTTGTTGTACCCTGGTTCTCAAAACTAATTAAGGAAAAGGGCTGTCCCGAAAGTGGGGCTTCTCTTTAAACTGTCTCTTGTAAATTAGCGTCTCTTCTTTTACACCCCCTGTAGCCTAGGGCACCCCCCTAGCGTCATTTTCCCATATTGGGACTCTTCTAGGACCTAGCCCACGCGAGCTAGACTCCGCTTGACGTTAAATAGCAATAAATAAATAAATAAATATGTAGAACACTTGGGAGAGAGCAGGAGTCTGTGACAGAGAAGGTGACGCATTTGGTATAGCAAAAGACAAAATACTTGCGTTTCTGGAAAGGATATAGAACGAGTTATTCGCTTGAATCGCTTCCAGGACGTTGATAATACCAAAATATCTTGCTTCTCATAGCTGATAAACAAGTGTTAAGTCACATAGACAATCTCAAACGAAGACTCAAACCCCTCTACTCCACCAATCGCTATCCAATAAATGGAAGCTAAAAGTCACACGCGATTCAAAAAGCCCAGAAAAAAAAAGTTTGTATATCTCTGTGCACACGGTAAAGCTCTTTTCCCCCAATTAATTCCAAAAAAGCTGGTATACTAAGCCACCCGTAATTCAACTCCCGCACCACCTCTAATTGAAAACGCCCGATATTGAGCCCCAAGTGTAAGCTCTATTGTCCCCCATGGTATCTATATATATGAAAAGCCCAGCCTCATTCATATCCCCCCTTGCACTACCTCACGCCCGAGTAATTCCACCTCGCCACTCTCGCCCGTCCGCCGCCTCTCTAGAACCCATCGCTGACCCGCCACGGGATCTTCTTCCTTTAAATAGCTAATACTTTCGGCGCTAGCAGAATGTTTATGTCTGCTTAGTTTCGGTCTCACTTCCTTCGAGTCGCTTTCCGGCGTTGAATTCTGCACTGGAGAGGCGAGAGAAAGGGCAGTTGTGTTAAACGTAACAGTCGGACTACCAGAAATGGAGGTTTCCTCGCCTAGAATACCAGCCGTAGTATCGCTCACAGAGCTGATTGCGCTATTCTTCCTTCGATGCCCTTGGACAGCAGGTGATACCGAGGTTGCAGGGACGCCTGGTGACCATGGCGGATGTGCAGAGGGACTGACATCATCAGGCCCGCCAGCACCTTTTGGACTGCCAGCTGTACTGCTGTGAAGACTAGGTTGACTGCTACCAAATGCTCCTCTTCTCAGTCTCATTAGGGCATTCAAGCTCATTTCACCAGCTTCATACTCTGGTGAACTCATCAATCCTGCCAACTGAGATAGACCTGGGCTAGCGAGCGATGAAAGTCCTGGGCTGGGGAAACCTGGGCTAGCGAAACCAAACATTCCGGGAGACAACATGGAGTTTCGATTCGAGTACTCACTCCGCTCAGTAATCGGTGTCAAGTTTGGCTCTCGAACCACAAGCCTTCCGCTCTGAGCGCGGATGAGACCATCCGCCCCACGAGGCCCAAAATAACCACCATTGGCATATTCAGCTTCTTGTGCAGCCGGTGCAGAGTAGAATCCAAATTCTTGTCCATAGAATCCATCGTAATCACTGGCGAGAGCCTCTGCATTTGCTGCAGCAATAATGGCATCATCTTCAAGTTCATCATCATAATCAAAGTCGTCTTCAATATCGTAATTGGGAGAAAAGGGTTCATAATGAGAAGTGTTTTTGCTTGAGTCTGTTATGAGACCGGGTTGTGACTCCTCAGGTTCGGTGGTAGTAGTGTCGATGGGAAGACTGTCACGACGAAACTTGCCATTGGCTGCGGCAGTAAATGCGGCTGCGGCGAGAGCTGACTGGTACGCAGCTAGAGTTTGTTGTGTTAGTCCTTGGGAAGGCATAAGTAATTGACTTCCAATATGCTGCGATACGTGCTGCGATACGGAAGGTCTAGGTGCCCAAACTCCAGGGGGTGGTGGGCTGCCATAGGATTCTGATTCAACTTTTGTGCTTGCGCCATCGGATGATTCGGCATTACCATTGGCATCTGGTTTATCAGGTGTCGGCGGCTGATCTGGTGCTATTGTAGGTGGTGGATGTAATGTAGATATCGAAGGAGAAAGTGGCTTCAGAGGCCGTCCATATTGGTCGGTACCAACATTATCAAAGACTGATTCGTCAAATGTAGAGGGTTGTTCTTCACCACCAAATCCAGTGATAATGCCATCGTCAAAATAGAGATCGTCATCATCAATTTTGGCTGGTTGAGGAAAACTCTGGGGAGATACCTCTTCATAAGAAGCGCTCTGGGCAGATGTATCTTGTGCTGCTTGAATGTCAAGGCCATGTACTTGTAGGCCCAATCCTTGTGGTGTATCAAGACCTGGAGTCTCTTCCACGACAGGGGACACGGGAGACTCTACCGCTCGCTGGGTTGAGTTTGAGTTAATGTAAGGGGAATTTTTGGTCATGGCAAAACCGATAATAGCACCATCAGCATCTCGGGGTGTTTCCGCAGCGCCAGGCGAGATCGGACTAAGTGGAGTAAGCCACGATTGCTGGAAGGAAAAGCCAATAAGGTTCTCTGCATTGGGTAGATGATCCGCCTCCAATCCTTCTCCCAAAGCACTTTCTTCTCTTTCGTGCTCGATTTGCACGTCCAATTCTTCTTTCAGGGGCTCTGCACCATACGAATCATCCTCCACATCGGCATTGACGCCCGGAATTCTCTCCTCTAATCCATCATCGTCGTTCATGCCGTCGAAATCATACTCGTCATCAAAATCACGAAAATGATCATCCTCGTTGGCTTTTTCGGCTTGTTTTTCTAAAGCCCTTTGGCGATGCCTATCCTCTAGTAATCTTTCCTGTTCGGCCGCACCAATCATATCAAAACTAAAGCGGGAAGATGTGCTCTTCATGTGCTTTGGTATAGCTGCTGCATCTCTAGCCGACACCTCGGACACATTTCGAGATCTGCCCTTCTTGTTAGAGGGCTGAGACTTAGGGGGTGTTGCTGAAGCATCTATCGAAATCGCCTTGTCTTTGATTGATTTACGTTCAACGCTCTCTGATAACATAGCAGGCACAGGTTCGGGTATGGAACTGTTCACAGTTGTCTCATCGACTGACGGGAGCTGCTTTTGGACAACATCGTTACTCTTCGCTGTCACATTCAAATCAAGCGGTCTCTGGGCGCCTTTGGCATATGGCGGCTTTGGTAAGGGTAGATCTGTCAAATCATTTGCTTTCCGGACGTGTGGTCCAGCTGCTGGGTACTGTTCTTCTTCAAAGTCTTCTGTAAAGACGGGCGTGTGATTCCCACCACTCCACCTGCCACTCCCATTATCCTCTAATGTACTTGGGTCATTGGATTGGGGATTTGGGCTACGCTGGTATCCTTTCGTGTGATTTGCGTCTTCTACTCGCGTATCGTTGTAGGGGACATTCCTTCGAGGGCGAGGCGCACTAAAATCATGAACAACCGTCCCACGAATTCTGAAATCGTTCTCTAGAGAGGTGTTTCCAGATTTGATAGTCACAAGTGCTTCTGTGCTTAATTGTGGGATGGCGTGCGAGGTTCTCCGGCGGGCTAACAGAGACATAGGATTGAGGAGGTTTAATCTCGTCTTTCCGGATTTTGAAGGAGCTGGTTCGAATTTAGACACGTTTTCGGCCGGTGGGGGAGTTGGCAGCCTCGCGCCGATGGGACGTCTTCCTGTTGGTATTGAATTGTTCTGCCCATCGGCGATATAATACTCGGGGGATTTTTGCCTCGACGTTCCTTCGCCGCTCTGCGGTGATAAATTGCTTTGCGAGGTGCTATAGTTTGCTGGACCAGCATTTCCTGCAGAATCCGGTCTGCCAGAAGGCATTCTCTGGTGATTGGTAAACGAGAAGCCATTTCCTGGTCGTGGGCCCTTTGAACTCTCCCAGCCTTGTGTTCGTGGTTCCCTTTCTCCGGCTCTGAACCTTGAGGAGTCGTTCGATAAATCCCCTCCAGTTGCTGTCCGGGTAACGGTTGCGGGTTCGAATGGCGCTGGGTTCGGAGGGATCGACTCTTGTCGTCGGTGAGGATGTCCATGATCAATGGGATGATGTGGTGGCTCGAAGGAAGGGGGTTGTTCTGCTGGTGATGAAGGCGTGGATGGCGTGCGCTTGTGATGAGGTCGCAAATATGAAAACATTCTCAGTCCTCAAGATGCTCTGGTAGATGATTCTCGCACGTCGTGAAGCTGTCTGATATGGAGCGTAGGTATGCTCAAACAAAGACAAAAGTTGGCAGTATTTTTGAATGTCGATTTTGATCCCAATGGAAAGCTATTCATGGCGCCTCGAAGGTTGCTGTGGCCTCCTCGTGTGAAAAAAGAAGATGGCAGATGGTATCATCTACAGCTCAACCAAGGAAGCTCAGCAAAACACCTTCAGAAATGACAGCCAGATATACCGCCACATATGAAGATTGGACCTTATCGATGGGTGCGCAGAGCAGCAGAGCGTTTGGCGTGGTTGTTTTTGTTTTTGCTTAGGCAATTCGGTAGTGCAAGGTCGAATCGAATCGGTGGTTGAGGCTTGACTCGATAGGAATTGAAGCTATTGACAATTGGGTTGGAATGGTCGTAGTCGCTGGCAAACGACTCAAAATAACTTGAACTTGCACGCAGATTCGATGGTCCTTTTGGTGAAATAAGGGGTTGCTTCGGAGGTGAATTTGTTGATACTACGGCATCAAACAGGAGCTGTTCAAAATAGAGTTCAATTGGAAAAGCCGCTGGTGTGGGGGTGTGTTGCCGGAATGGGTGGCGCCGGTTTGCTTGCGTAGGTGTTGCTCTTGCTCCACTACGGCTCGAGGGTGGCACAGGTGGTTTCGAGATCCGAAATCCACTAAGATTCAGAACGTCGATCAATACCTGATTATTTATAAAAACGCCAAGAACCTATTCACATTGATTAATGATGATATTTCTTCATTAAACTGAAGTTGGCTACGTATTCCGGTGGTTCCAGATGTCAGTAAAACGCAGAATAAGTATGCCCATAAGCTGGGCTTATTTTATCAAGCAACTCATAGGATGTTTTCACTTCTCGAAATCTTCATATATACAAGGATGATCTAGAGTAAGGAACTAATTGCATCGTCCAGTTCTAGATTTTTGCTCTGCCAGATCCAAACACGTGTAAGGTGGCTGAGAGCCCTCGACGAAGTAGCCATGACTGCTTATATGCACATTACGATCACATTGATCACATACTGTTCACTTGCTGCACCCAGGGTTGGTGAAATTATTTCCAGATGAGCCAAAAATATTCTTTTGGGAATAACAGATGACCTCATATTGCGACCCTGATAGGTTTCGAGTCTGAGACGAAGGGTATCAAACATATATATATATAGATACTATGAGTTCCCGATTTGTCGTTTGTTTCCAAACAGTCTCCCCATAAACATACGAGTTCTTAAGCTTAGAGACTTGCATAAAACAAACATACTTATGTGAAGAGATTTGCTGGAGGAGGGTTTTAGTAGAGGCTCTTTTACTTGTATAGTACCGTAAGTCCAATCGTTCGATATAATTTTCCAAGCTTCTTTGATTGATCTAACCGGGCAAACACTATTTAGAGAAGACTGGAGAAGACTTCAAGCGCATTGATTTTTACGCCTCAGAATTCCCCAACCTTCTCTTCGCTTAGACAAGACATCGGGGTCTATCGACGCTTTGCTTCAAAACTAACTTTTCGATTAGTATTTCGATTGAATAACCGTTGACTTGGTAGTATTTCGTATGTAAAGCAGCATCGCTTGCGAAAACAAGTGGATAATAAACATATTACTTTACGACGATCCGTTAGTATAGTACGATAACAGGGAAAAAGTACTATCTATGAAAAGAGTACAAAAAAATCGATTTCAGGGATATCATAGTGATACTCTTGAATATATTGCTATCCAACGGCACTTGAGAATTTGGAAAGAACCCTTGACAGAATGAGTCCTCCAAAATACACAGTGTAAATGTGTTGGAATCTTTTAGATATTTGTCGACGTACTCACCTAGTAGCTTAATAGGTATCCTTAAGGCCATGAATAGATTTTTCTTTAGATGAGAGAAATTTGAACCACAGGTTTAAGGTGTTACGTGTCGAGTTTGGGGACTTCGATCATCGGAAGTAAATAGCATACTTAGCATATAATCCTTCCTATTCCTACAATATATTAAGAAGAACACAGGTCACTTGAAATATCTTCCATCACTTCCAGAGCACAATATCGCCACAGAAATCCCTAAAAAGTAAAAGAAACACCAAAATCTACATGTAAGTTCTCACAGATTATCATCAGATACTATGATAAGTCCAATAGCAGAAAACAAAGTCACAAGTCGACAGTAATTTTAGAGACGCCAAGGTATTAGCCTGTCTTAAGTTCAGAATTAAATAGCGTGGTGTTATTGTACACAGTTGAGCCTTTGGCACTACTGCCCAAGATCGAGAATAAATCAACTGCGTGGCTAAAGATAAGTCAAGGGTATCGTATGATTACGCAAACCCCTAAGTTGGGCGAAAGGTTCTACCGAAAAGCAGAAATACGTATACATGGCGCTCTTTCATATTGCATTTTGTCAGGCAGTAGATCATAAAGCTATCTTCAAAATTCCAACAAGAAAGTCCTTTTTAAGCGTCAAGATTCCCTTTCCATAGTAGCCCTAAAGTCCAGTATACAAACGTGCCTATTCTCTCTCACAGACCTTTAGACTGGAACTCATTACTACCTGCATTTCTTCCGCCTTATGATGATCTCCTTTTCCTAATGTTCTGACGCTATGTATACTGATTCCGAGGAGATGTATGCCAACTGTTGAAATATCAGTCTCTCCTTCTCACCTCCGCTTCGTAAATCAATTCACAGTAACGTTGTCATTTGGGAGGCGAGATTCAGTAACAGTAAGTACGTTCCATTGAATACTAAATGATAGTGCTCTACAACTCAATCATTTCACTTCTCCGTCTGTCCTTCCAACATCCAATCCCGAAACACGTCTCCAGTTGTGCAAACGCGCAAGACATCTCAAACATAGAATCATAGCTTTCCCTGTTCAAATCAGACTTGCGGAAGAAGAAAGGTTACTTTTGGGAGACACTACCAAGAAACACTGGGCTGACCAACAACAGTCAAGATAACTGGATTAAAAACATGAACAATGCCATTTCTCTAGGAATCGCTCTCAGAACGCCTGGCGGTAAAGGGTCTTTTATAGACTTCCTGTTGAGCAACGACATCTCTTTTAGACTCGCTCTCAGAGCGTCGGGCGGTGAATGGTCTCTTATAGACCTCATGGCGAGCCACGACATCTCCCGCAGAGCGACTGGCCAAGATTTGTGATTCGTAGCCCTCGGCACGTGGAACTGCTATCACTGGTTAGCATCGTAACTTGATGAAGCAACAGACAAACTTACGAGCGCTCGTGGGAAGTGCAAGTCCGAGTGAACCAGTAACAGCCACAATGGCGATAACGCGAGAGACGAGCATACTGAATCAGACGAGCTTGTAAATTGTTGTTCTTGATCAAATTGATTATGGGGTTGTAAAAAGAGATGATGGTGGTTTGGAGAAGGGTGGGCGTGTCGGGTCTCTAAAGAGGAGAGAGCATGCTCTGAAATATACTCGCAGGTAAAGTGCAGTCTGTTCTTGAGTTGCTACCAGCACGTTTCTCCATACCAATAAGGGAGTCTCGAATGGATGTTGGTGAGATTATACGAGAGCGGGGAAACCCACTAGACCAAACAAGGTAGGATAGCGCAGAAACACCCAATACATCGTTGGTCAACCTTGTCAGTACCCACAATAGCAGAAAAGGTTTGGTCCCGAGGTACATTTCGTTGTACACCACGTCTACAGATCATGGATTCTTGGCAACTCTCGCGTAGACTAAAACAGTAAATTCAGCCAAGATTTTGTGTATTAAAGATAAGCAAAGTCAGAATGACCCTTTCAAGGATTCGTTATCTTCCAAGTGGTTTAGTCACTTCTACATTCTAGCATCGTGAAAGAATTTGTTTTGCGTATCGAGGGTCACTAAGCAAGCTTACATATATCGTTTGATCTAGTTGATCACTTGTCTACAACAACCCACAATCAGTAGAGTTGTTATACGCTTGTAAAAAGGCAAAATTAAAAAAAAGAAGGACAAAACCTTTAGGCCCCCTAGCATCGGTGCTAGGAGGCCCCCTCAGGAGAAAATCCACTGTTAGGGGTGGATTTTTTAGAGGGTATTTCGTGGGGGGTTGACGCGGGGGATGGAGGAGGGTGGGCGGTAACAGGTTTTGTGTGGGTGGCGCAAATGGGATTTGGGGAGGGACACACACTAACTGACTGGGCCAGGCGAGCAGGTTACCAGTTTTGATGTCGCTGATTGTGGTATTTTGAGTTAAGAAAGTTGTTTTGCGATTTGTGTGGGGCTTTTGTTAAGCGGGGTGTTCTGATTGGTTGGTGGGGAAGCTTCGGGTTTACTTTGGTGCTTTGGGGGTTGTCGGGGTGAATGACAGCCGAGTCCAAAGGACTTGGATTTGCATCACGGCGAGAAAGCCTACACTTACATCCCAAGGACGAGAGTGTTAGCTGTATGATTAGGAATTTGATTTCTCACAACCCATACTTTATCGACTTAAGAAGCAAGCGATGCAGTTAAATCCTCGAAGCTGTAGTTGAATAAGCATAATGTAGCGTGGCTCGGTTTACCTTTACTACCTTCCTTCTCAGGCTTTTCTGCCCGCCTCGTAAAGAAACCCCGTTTCTCTTTGTACCAATTCTACCAACTTAAGTCTGACGAACCCCTGCTCCAGCATGCTTTCAAAGACCGATACTCGAGAGGTGTCCAGACCGCCCATCGACTACTTTTGCTCCACAAATCGAAACATGGGAGCATCTAAGAACTAAGCAGCCAATCCAAGCATCATGACATCCTAAGATATAAGTCTAACGGGCTAGAATGAATTGGTCGCTACCCCACTTCCTGCAGTCAGATGTGTCTTACTTGCATTATCAAGAAGTGATTGTTTTCACCATTGCATAAAACGGTAAGAAATAGATGCAGTCGCGGACGAACCTTCGGACGACGCGAGACAGGTCAAAGTATGGTCTAGTCGAGGTTACTTTGATGCGTAGTCTTTTGGGATAGCTAAGCACTTCCTTATTTTCTTTCCCATCGACCGTAGCACATATATTCTCAACCTTTGCAACCAAGCGATCCTGCGTATTATACCTTATGATGACTGAACGAAACGCAAATGTGGCATATTCTCTGGTGTCCGATCAAGATGAAAGAACTCAATACACAGTAGTTATCCTCTTCATAATCCATAAAAACGCCAATAACCAAACTCTAGGAAGACAAACGCGCCACCCACAGAGGATCGAGAAGTTGCTCAAGGCAACTTCGATTCTACATGGTCCTCAATAGTCTAATGTTCATCACATCTCTAATCTTTCTCTTAATTTCCGTTCACAAGAATGCGCAACACGGAGAAAACTGGCCGTTTCGGCAACTATCATTCAATTATAAGATCATCAAATCATTGAGGATATAGACTTACACCTCTCACAGCCCCGATACTACAGCGTTTTGAAGTAGATACCATCTTAAAAACCGTACAAGGGACCTTATTCAACGAGCACAACGACCTACTCCGCCGCCCCCCCTCACCCTCAGTCGACGCCGTATGGGACCGCCTCGCCAGCCTGGGTACATTCTTCATCAGCAGCTCCGACGTCGTACGACTCGGCAAGAACCCAGAAATATCAACCAAAGCACCCTTGGAATGGGGTAAGAAATCTCTCTAGCCTGTGATCTGGAAAAACCGCTGACTTTGAAAGGGTTCGGGCCAGATGCATATCTAGCACATTTAGATGGCCAACACGCACTACATTGTTTAGATGCCGTGAGACGCTATGCGTATGGAGAGTACTACTACCCCGACGCCAAAGACTGGAATACTAGTAGTATCGATGAGGCGCATCGTTCGCACTGCTTGCATATCCTTTTGCAGAGTCTGACGTGTAATTATAATTTCGATCTTATCACTTATAACGTATGTCGCGCTCTCTCACAATTAAATTCCGCCAGACAATTGAAGCGTATCTTGGCTAACAACGTGAAGTGGATGGTCACTCAAAAGCATCCCTTTCCCGATTTTGGGGTTAACAAGAAGTGCGTTAATCATGATCAGATCCTTGACTGGCAGGCAAAGAACAAGATCTCGGATGAGATGTGGGAGGATTTCGCGAAGCGTGGGCTGCCAGAGGGTCAGGAAATTGTTCCTATTTCACCGCTGATGGGTGAGTGGTCTGCGGGTGATATTTATAAGGACCATGAGCATTGAGGATAATTTGAGATTTCATAGAGAAGCTAGCATTACAGACAACAACCCTTTTTTTGGAAATGAAAAGCGAACACTGCAACAGTCTCATATCTAACTTACATGACAAAAGAGCCCCCTTACACGCACAACATCCTCAAACACCTCTCCCAGTACCAAAGCAGAAATCCCCCCTTTTGAAGGAAAAAGTTTGAAAAACGCAAGAGAAACCAAAAAACCGAAAAAAAACCCAACTAAACACCCCCAGGTCTCAACCCCTCAATCCACTCACAAATACACTTCCCCTCCTTCACATCCCACACAGGCCTCTGCTCACTGATACAAAACACCTCCGCACAACTCCCCACCCCACTCGTCGGCTTCGGCACCGCACTCGTAGAAAACGCAGCCGTCGCTACCACAGAAGTAACAGTACTACTCTCCCCCACACACACACAAGCATTCTCCTCCGAGCTCCAGACCTCCGGTTGCTTGGTCGCAGGACACCTTATCCAATCCATCACCGTAATATTAAAGCACGCAGGAATCGAATCCGGATCCGGGAGCGTGGCAGAGAGCGTAGGTATCGGTGCCGCAGAAGTAACTGCGATGTCTCGTCGTCGGAAGAAGTTTGCATCGGGTTCGAGACCGGGTATGTATTCGCAGGAGCAGGACTTGGTGGATATGTCGTAGAAGGGTGCCATCTCGGAGATACATACCGTCCCCGGACAAGCATCAGAAGTGGAGGATGAATCTCCAGCCGTGCGAAGCTCCGTGTCCAGACTTGGGATAGGTGAGGTTGAAAGTCCCGGTCTAGGGAACGGAACACATCCACACCTCTTAGTGTCCGGGTTGTAAAAAGCGTATCTTTCGCTCGGACAAAGCATCGTCAAACATTCCGTTGGCAACGAACTTGGAATCCTGGTTCTCGTAGGTACAGCAAAAGATACAGAAAGTGTACCGACCCTCCTCTCCTTCCTATCAGAAGTTCGAGTAAGCCCTTCGAGGAATGGGTCATGATCCGGCTTCTTCCCACCCCTGTGACCCCTCCACTCACACTGACAAATCCCAAGCGTAGCATTAAAGACCGGAGTTTTCTTACCAACACAAGTAAGTTCCTTATCACACTTTGGCACCATCGGGGTTCTGCCTATACCAGACCCCCTATTCGCACGACCATTCGGCTTAGGCGAGCCCTCGATCCCCGGGATACGCGCACAGGAACAAGTATTGGTCGTGATATTGTAACTCCTCTCTCGGGTGATGACACACATCAACGTCGGACAATCCTCATCACAATGACATTTCCCCGTCTCGGGGTGGAAAACCATGTGCGAATGCTCCATACACTTCATCTGCGGACACGACTCCGGGATCGGCTCCGCGATCTCGCAAGAGCATGTTGAGGTCGTAGAATTGAACAGAGGTCCTATAGTTCCACTTGCGCAGACCGTTTTCTGGCAGTCGAATCCAGCGGTGGACAGCTCCTGACATGTACAACGCCCTTCATCCCGGAGGTAGACCGCGCGAAAGCCACCTCTACATCTAATAAGGGGACAAGATTCCGGAAGTGGTTCTCGTTCTTCAATATCAGGTGTACAAGAACACGTTTCCGTCGCAGCATCAAAAAACGGTCCTAGAGTCCCACTAGCACACACCGTTTCCTGGCATGCCACCTCAGCCGCCGACATTTGCTCACACTTGCAACGTCCCGTATTTGGGACACAGAGTGCGCGAAAGCCGCCTCTGCACCTTACCTTCGGGCACGTCGCTGGATCCAAATCTTGCTCGCAAGAACAATTTTGAGATGCGGGATTATATAACGGATGGAAACCAGCCGAGCATCGAATCGTCGGGCAAGTAAATGGCAACTGTCCTAATTCAAGGTTCTTCGCTTCTGATATCGGTACTGGTTTGCAAACACATTTCGGTTGTTGTTGATCCCATGTTGCTTGTTGATCGAGAGGACATATGATCTTCCCACACGCAAAGGGGGGTCTTATGTCGGGAACTATTTGATATACATTAGCCTTCGAAAGACAAATAGGGATTGTGACCAGGAAGAGAAAGAAATAAGGTACGTACCCGGAGACTCGAACGTGGAGTCAGCAAGTGTATTTGGATTCGGCAACGCAAGAAGCGTCCCGCTCAGCCCTAGTATCAGAATATATAACGAGAGAAACATGGTCAGATAAAACCCTCAAAATTCGACGTTAACTTGTACCCTCGATCGCTGGAAAGGTTGAGTGGTTTCGGCCCTTATAAAGAAGACCACCATGCAATTGCTGTCCTGTTGCCTTGGTACCTCCCACCAGTTTCCGAATTCTTATGGTGTGAAGTAGGTTGGTTGGATGCCCAGTACCAATTTGCCGAAGAATATAAATTGTAGGCTGAATCCTCACTCTCGGTATACGAAGGAGCAGATTAGCCAAAGCAAACGAACAAGAAGAAAAGGGAACGATCAAATATCAAGTTTTTAAATCAACCATGCGCAGGCAAGGCGTCGGCCGCTTTACCCCGGATTTTCCATTGGAATGTATCAGTGGGGTGCCAAGATCAACAATATATCATGGGCGTGGTATAGACTTGATGGCTAATACTGTAAATGCAGAAAGCTTCTGGAAAATTTCCTTTCGATACTTGGCTTTTCGGTGCCTCTCAACCGAGTGAATTGTATATATTAATTAGTCGTCATGAGGTGGCCTCCTGGTAACGTTATATCGTGTGTAAGGGAATCAGTAAAGATATTGAGTTTTCATACGATAAGGGGCGTTACAAGGTAAGGTGTCTTGGACTTGGAATCCAAGCCGGGGAAAATCACTTTTCCGACCGTGTTACACAAGTGATTACTGGACACCAAATAATTCTCGTCAGCCGACAGGTCCTATACAAATTCCTTCTTTACATTAATTCGTCCCAAATTCCTTGGCTTCCACTTGGTCTTGCCACTAACCGGATTACGTGTTGGTTATTTGCAAAATTCTCATCTTATGGAAATAACACGTTGTTCTATTTCGAGTTCCTGTTAGCTAAGTTCCACCCTCAGAATTTCAAAAGAGCAAAGACCTACATATCGGTCACAATAGGTCCGAAATGGCAGAATGGGCTGAAACCAAGGCAAAATTCGAACTATCCAGCGATCTTGTATGAAGATCAACAACCCCCAAGATCGATGAAGATTAAAAAACGAACCAACATACCTCACCAGACACCTCCTCGACCACCTGACTCGAATTCCTTAAGACTGTAGAGCACCATGGAAAAGGTGGAAAATGAAAAACGAAGAACCAAGAATACTCGTCTTGGTATAACCACAATGTGTATTGTACATTTGTAAACCCCAAACCTCTCGTTCTAACTCCACCATATCGTTCGTCGTTCGTGCCACTATCGTACAAATTCCATTCATTTCATGATCATTTCTCACTTACTCCTGCTACAGCTTGCATCTCCGCATGTTGTATCTCAACCAGCTCCCCGTCATCCCCATCCCCCTTCTCTCTTTCGGGAAAAGTCTCCTTTAGGGTCTCTGGTTCTACCATTGCAACATGTACAACTTCGTCCTCGTCGTCATCCTCTAAACTGGTTCTCCTCTTTGCCTCGGTCGTCGAACTAAGTCTTCTCTTGCCTCTTCCATGACGCTCGCCACCAAAGCCTGCTGCTCCAAATCCATCATCCGAATCATCGCTATCGTCTGAGCTCTGTAGGTCGCCATCATTAGCATTAGCACCTCTGAGATGGTTCCTTGTGCTCCGATATTCCGCAGTGCCATCGCTGCCCACTGCAAAATCATTCGGACCTTTACTGAGGATGCTGTTGCCAAATGGCCACAAGGAGGGGAAGCTGGCGCGGATGGCCTTGTGATTGATGGAGGGCAAAGCAACCGCATCAGGGAGAACACCCACATTCTTGGCCGCTGCTTCGAGTATTGATTCCTCACTGCCGACCAGTCCAGTTCCTGTTGGTAAGTGACCCCTGCCCTCCTCGTCAGCCTCTAGATCCCCAATGGTGAAATCGCCATCATCGTTGTCGGAGTCATCGTCCTCGTCAGCAGCAAAGGGATCAAGATTCTTATTCTGGTCAGCTCTGTCAATTTGATCCCCATTCTCGGCATTCTCGGCGTTTTGTTTGTGAAGTGCAAGACGAGCAGCGAGTTGTCGACGAGCTCTAGAAGGAGGAATGTTTAGCGGTGGTGGTGGTGGTGGGGGAGCAGAAGGGGGTTCCATTTCAGATCCAGACGTAGCTGTTGTAGTGGATGGAGTTGATATATACCGCGAAAACTAAGTGAAGCCAAGTCAGTATATTTTGATCGTCACAATTCGCAAGTCATATGAGAACAAAAAAAGTTTCCGCACAGCAAATCAAACAGGGCTATCAAAAGACGTCCTCAAAAGATCAAGTGCCAATAGTAAACAGGTTCAGGATAATGATTTTGGAACCCGAATTCGAGGTTGGGTATAGACTACCAAAAACAAGATTCTTTACATAATGTACAGGAAACAAAGCATCATTGATGGCGAACTTTTTCCTCTGGAAATAGAGGGTTCTCGCGATCAAGCTGATCCAGGTACTCATAATCAACTTCGTCGTCGTCGAATTTGTCAAGATTGGGGGCTGGAGGAACAGAAAGACCCACTTCAGCAGTGCCACTATTCCTTGCTCCTTCTTCGTCATTGTCTTCATCCATTTCGTCGTCTTCTTCGTCACTTGAGCTTCCGAATCCGCTGAGTAAGGTTCCTCCAAGGGCAAAACTTCCACTGCCATTTGCAAGATCTATACTGTCAAGGCCAGCAGAACCGTTAAGACCTGCTTCTGTTAATGCCGATGAAGCCCCTCCGAAGTTGTTTGCTGCATTAACTGCATTCATAACTGCCTGTCGTGGACCAACAGACATATCGGGTCGAACCCCACCAAGAATGGCGTTATCTCTTTCTCGAGTTTCTGCCAACGTAACTTCAACATATGTAGCCCAGTCCCCATTCATAACCTTCTCTAATACTGATTCTGAAAGTAGCTCAGGTGGGTGTCGCTCGGTAAATTTCACGACCTCCTCAGCAATCAGAGTCAGGTGACCCATGTAACCGAGACGCATCTTATTCTTCTCTTGAGCCTCATCACTTTTTCTTTGCCCATCAACAATGCGCATAGTGATATTTCCAGTTTCGAAAAGATCAATGGCGAGAGATCGGTTGAATCCACGATCCATGGGACCGTTGAAAACTTGTTGTACGACATCATAAACCACATTATGGAGAAAGTTGTTCCATGGAAAGCGGAAGAAAAAGTCCTGCAGCTGTTAGACTTGAATGTCAATTTGATGTGTATGTAGAATGCAACTTACTAAAATAGTTGGGACGACTTTGTGCTCCACAAATTGCATTTTCAAGAAATCGCCAACAACAGGTCTTGAAGGGGCTTCAACCAGAGAGTGGTGTAGATGTTCATCGGTGTTACCCATCATGATCGAGTTGGAGCTATCTCCCGCCTCTCCCATAGTAGTATCCATACTTTCCGCACTCGAGCTACCCTGGGGTACCAGAGGTGCAGTATCTGCTACTGGTTCAGTTTTGGCCTCAGGCTCCGGATCAGATTTCTTTGCAAACAATGGTGCTGGGATCTCCTCGCTATGAAGCATTTCATCCATTGGTGCCTGTGAAATCGTCAAGTCAGGTGTTGATTGCTCTAATTTGATAGATTGTTCGGTCTCTGACGACCCGATACCCGCAGAGTCTTCGGATGATTCTGGACCAACTGTAGCTGGCTCTACTGCCTGAATCCTACTGCCTTCTACATGGGAATCAACCATCAGGATGTCCTCCGAAACTTTAGCTTCTGGCTCGTTTGAGATCTCGAAAGCCTCGACCTTTGCTGACAGCTCTGACCTAGGAGAAGGCGAATCCTCGACAGCACTGTCCGTCTTGGGTTCTTCCTTCATTGTTGCGTCAATTGATGCCGCAGCATCTTCTGTGTGGGCCACTGGTTCCTTTGGATGTTGCTCATGCGTCTCTGTTTCTGTCTTTAGCCGTGGCGAAGTAAGAGGCTCATCGACAAACTCGTCGTCGTCTTTATCTAGAAAGGACAATGGCGTTCCAGAGTTTACAGAAGCAAGCAAGTCATCAATCTCAGGTTTCTCGTCAAAGTCGTCTTTCGCATCGTCTCCGAGATCGGCTGCATGTGTAACCTCCTCGAATCCATCGTCATCAGAAGCGTTCTGCACCTCGAGTTTCCGAGAGCTCTCCGGAGATCCCAATCGTGTTTGCGTAGAAGATTTCATAGTAAGGTCATCGTCTGAACCTGGGATGGCGGATAGTGGGTTGAGCTTTCCCTCAGCCTTGAGCTTTTCTCGCTCAGTATCGCGTGCCTTGACAAACTCCTCACTACCAACTTCATTCAAGAGACCCATATTACTACAATGGAGAAGCTCAGCCATCAGTTCACAGGTCTTGAACCTATCGAAGCCCAGTGGTTCGATTTTGCCGCCAAAAGCTGCACTCAATTCTTTTCTCTTGATTGTCACGGGACCATCTCCTCCACCGATCGTGTGGTTTGGGCTGAGAATAAGTTCCATAAAATCGGGGACTCGTTGAGCAAACATCCTCAGTAGAGTCCCAAGGTAGATAGGATCCCGACTTGAAGGAAGTGAATTTGCTTCAGCCCCAACATCAGGATCATAATCAGAATTATTCTTGCGAATAACCTCGATTACGATACCGACACCGACAGTCAGTGGATTCCCTCCTCTTAACATGTCTGATATTAGTTTTTCGATACATCGCTGTGAGACGAGCTGACGCGTCAATTCGTTGGGGCCAATGCAAGATTGTTCGTTTTGAGAAGCATTTGCAGATATAGTAATAATGGCCTTGAGAAAATCACCAGCTGAAGTTTGTGTTGCCCAAGAGTGTTCGGATGATAGGAAAGAAAGCAAAATTGGCATCAAATCCTGGGAGTGAAGCCACTGTAGTAAAAAGTCAGCATATTATGGTAGGCTCAGGAGAACAAAACCCTACGTCAACAATCCCCTGGCCACCTTCGGCCTTTTCCAAACTGATAATCTTAAGTAGCAAATCCATCACCATAGGAGAGTCAACATGCTGTAACATATTTTTTACCGCGCCGTCCAGGGACTTGAACAGATCCAACATCTCTTCGGTTTTCTTGTCGAGAAGCGCCTCGTTGACCTTAGTAAAATAGCTCGCCTGGAGGGCATCAAGTGGAGGGGTAAGTTCCAGAAAACCCCAGAATTTGCGCAAAAGCGCTTGGTTTTCTATCAAAGCTTCACATATGGACCAATTATCCGAGGAGAGAATTTCCGCGGACACATAAGCGTACCGGTTTCGCTTCTTCTCGCGCTCATCGTCCCCGCCATCTTCTGAAAGACTTGACTTGGAAAAGCTCAAAGGCTCCTTGCCCTTCGACTCTGTTACCTCGTCCTTTACATCGGTTTCGGGCTCATCCGGCGAGGCGGTCTCTAATTTTGGAGCGACAACGTATTCGAGTAGTCTTTCCAGGATTTTATCCTCCCGCAAATACTCGATGAGCTTTGTATTATGTTGCTTCAGCTCTTGTATGAGATCACCCTCGTCGAGCAATTCCTCGAGTGTGACATCGGCCTTTTCAAGAAGGGTATCAATTGTAGAAGTATTGGCGTAACCGCCAAATCTCCAAAACATCTTGAGCTGCGTATGAGGTCTCGTCTGCCACCGGTGACTCGGAGGCGGATCGAGAGCGTGTTTGTGATATCAAGCAGCTGTACCGATGGTTGGTCATGCAAGTAGGCCAATTGTGTCGCTAGAAAACCGCAATTTATGTAACCGAAACAAAGGCGCCGTATAAGGTATCGTATCGCTGATGTGAAAGATCAGATCTAATCGCTTCGTGAATCGTCAAGATGATGCTCCAGCCTAATGGACGCAGGTCGTCAGCGGTGTGATGCGAGATGCGATTTGATCTTCCCTTTTGGCTGGTGGCTGGCTGCCTTGCACCATCAACCTCCAAGGCGCAATTCCGCCCCGCCAGTGGAGGTTGCGCATGGGATTGATGCGGTGTGGGGGAGGGGGCACGTACAAATGATGGTGTAGATAACAATGGTATTTTACACTTCGGAAGATGGCGATGGGTGATGCGGAGGGCCAGTCAGTGTATTATGGCGCAGGACCGATTGCTGCCAGTTGGGATGGGATGGGATGGGGTATGAACGTCGTGAGCGTGGGTGCGGGCGTGGGCGTGAGTTGGCAGTACCGCAAGTCAGTCGGACGACCAAGATTATTTAGAGAAGAGGGGACAGTAATAGGAGCGCAGGACGTTGGATATGGGGTATCAAAAGAAGAACATGAAGTGAAGTAGAAGGTGTAGAAGTAGAAGGTGTAGAAGTAGAAGTACAATGCGGCTGCCGTAGAGCGTCGCAAAGGTGGAAGAAGACCTCAGGGTGGCGGTGGTGGTGGTGATGGACAGTCACTGGTGGAGAGGATCACTGTGCGTGGGAGATGGTTTGTGTTGGAAGTTGGGTGCGTTCAATTTGGTGGGTGCGGGTGCTGTGCTCACCCTCGCCCTGGAGGATCTGGACTGGCCTGAGTTAGTGAGGTTGCTCCCGCTGGATCCCTGTCCGCCTCCCGTGATCTCAACCCCTTTCTCCCTCGCAAATAAATTTATAGCATCAGTACTGGATGATATTTGATACCCTAACTAAGGGTATATCAAAGTCTTTGGATTTCTTGCATCACCGTTCATCCCCCTTCACTCTGCCACGTCGTGCATGGATTCTATGCAATGCCAGCAGTGAAACGTTTTTTACACGTGATTCTGGCCCAGGTTTTCTTGGTGCCAACCTTAGTTCAGGGCAACCACGGTTGCGCGAGGCCAGGAGGCCAGGCAAAAGGCTGAAGTGACGCATCACAGGCAATCACAGGCCATCGCGGGGAAACCAAGACCAGGAAAAAGACCACCATCACACAACCCTACCACCTCTTCTCACCAGGGTCATAATACAAGATTCATGCGAAACATCCTGCATCTCCAACGCCATCTACTATTCTAGGCTGGTCAGAAGCCTGGCTGCGTGAGGCACGCTAAAGTATCACAAGAGCCGTTGCATATCTCCCAACACCTTACACCCTTTTGGAGGGCTTCTGATAGGGAGACCAAACACAACGGAAACCAGATATCAGGGGTAACAACAACAAGCCTGTATAGGAAGGATTGAATTTGTTTTGAAGCTATTTGGGGATAGCCGGCACAAATAAGGCTACCTGGCATAACCACAAACCTCAAGTCTCTATCAAATCTCCCATCCAACCTCCAAGATGAATCGACTCTTCGGCGCAAAGAGTTCGGCTCCAAAGCCAACCCTCAATTCTGCTATCAAGAATGTAAAGATACCCTCCACAGACGATTCAGTGACAGCACATACTAACCTTCCAGGTCGACGAACGCGTAGAATCCATCGACGTTAAACTCGCCGCCATAAACGCCGAACTCCAAGGCTACCAAACCAAGCTCTCCAAAATGCGCGACGGCCCCGGAAAAACAGCCATCAAGCAAAAAGCCCTCAAAGTCCTACAACGTAGAAAGATGTATGAAGGCCAACGAGATCAACTCCAGTCGCAGTCCTGGAATATGGAACAAGCGGGAATGATGCAAGATAACCTCAAGAATGTCATGACAACCGTGGATGCCATGAAGCAAACCAATAAGAGTCTGAAGCAGCAATATGGCAAGATCAATATCGATAATATTGAGCGGATGCAGGATGAGATGGCCGATTTGATGGATATTGGGAATGATATTCAAGAGAGTATTAGTAGGAGTTATGATATCCCGGATGATGTGGATGAGGCCGAGTTGGATGCCGAGTTGGAGGCTTTGGGTGATGAAGTTGAGTTTGAGAGTATGGGGGCAGAGGCTACCCCAAGTTTTATGGTTGACGAAGTTCCTCAGTTCATTGATGAGCCACCGCAGACAACGGGGCAAGTCAAAGAAGCTGCGGGATAGAGGTATTTTGACGGACGCATTCTTTGGAGTTTAGCGGGTATGGCGTTGGGGATGGCATATGGAATTCATTCACATGAGATAGGAAATTTCTACATACGACACTTGATCTTCTCAGTATTTTTTCGTATCTTTCAATCTGGAGCCTAAGAAAGTTTGGTGCAATGCCGTGGAAACATTACCAGAAATTGATTAACTCCCTAGGTCAATCGTGAAAGGAAATGAAGCGAAGAAAGGGAATCAGGCACTGGAATGTACATCCTACAAGTACCCAATACTCTACATATGAGCATTTCCCAAGTACACCAACCAATTATAATATCCACCTAAGCGAAGCGCCCAATTTACAACCAACATGCACGCCGCATTCGCATTCACATCCCAACTAACCCGTAACAGTATCAGGAAACCCAATCAAGTCTCCTAGAACCGTGCGAGTCTCTCTACCTCCTTCGTCACAAACCCTCTAACATTACAGCTCCACACAAACCCACCCAAACAAACCTCCCATCTACCCAACCCTCCAAAAAATGACGCTCCCAAACGGCTCCCAAGATCACCCATTCGACAGCATCGTCGTCGGAGCCGGAATCGTAGGTTGTGCGGTAGCCACAACATTCGCCCGACAAGGCCGGAAAGTGCTGCTCCTCGAACGCAGCCTTAGAGAACCTGACAGGATGACTGGAGATCTCCTTCAGCCGGGTGGGGTGGCGGCGTTGAGGAAGTTGGGGATGGGGGCTTGTTTGGAGGGTATTGATGCTGTGAGTGTGAGGGGGTTTGAAATCCTTTGGAGGGGGGAGAGTGTTAAGTTTTCTTATCCGGTTGTTGGGGAAGAGAGGCCGATGGGGAGGAGTTTTCGGTATGGGAGATTTGTTGGGAAGTTGAGGGAGGTGGCGAGGGGGGAAGGGGGTGTTGTGGTGATTGAGGGTTCGGTTAAGAGTTTGGTGAAATGTCCGAGTTCAGGGAGAGTTCTGGGGGTTAGATGTCCAATTTCTGATAGTAATGGAAAACAAGAGAGGACTGTACGTTCATCTACATCTCCCAGGTAATCCCATCCATAAATCTTGCCTAACACTTCCCAAGTTCTTCTCCCACCTAACCACCATAACCATCGGCCACTCCTCACCCCTCCGCTCCGAACTAACACCCCAAACCCCCCTCTCCACCTCCAAATCCTGGGGCCTAGAACTCACCAACGCCCTTCTCCCCTCCCAAGACCACGCATACGGAATCCTCGGCACGGGTCCTCCAATCCTCATCTACCGCACCAGTCCCCAAATAACCCGTCTCTTAATCGACATTCCCAAGACCCTACATTCATCCCTCCGCAACAACAATACCAGTATAAAATCCTGCATCCTTAACACCATCATCCCCACCCTCCCCCCTTGCACCCAGCCCTCCGCCATCCTCGCCCTCAAAACAGGACGATTACGATCAATCCCTAATTCCTGGCTCCCTGCCTCACGGAATCGAATCAAGGGGTTGGTTGTAGTATGGGATGCGTTGAATACACGACATCCGTTGAGTGGTGGTGGGATGACGGTTGGACTCCATGATGTGCTTTTACTTCGTCGGCTGCTGGGTCCTGATTCGGTTCCTTCGTTCTCGGATGGGGAGGTGATAGTGGGGAAGATGGGGGTTTTTGATGGGGAAAGGAGGGGTGTGAGTTTAAGTCTTGATGGGGTTGCTCAGGTGCTTTATGGGGTTTTTGTTGGGGGTGGTATGGTACCTTTTTCCTCCTCTCCTCCCGTCACTCCCTCGCTTAATCTAACCCTTTTCCGTATCCAACAGACCCACAATCACGAATCCTACAGCGCGGATTTATAAGGTATCTCCAGCGGGGTGGTTCTTGTATCGAGGAACCTGCTGGGTTACTAGGTGGGGTGATACACAGTCCGTTTTTACTCTTTTATCATTTTTTCGCGGTGGCGATGTATAGTCTTTGGCTTTATTTCAAGGAAGAGTGTGGGGGGTCTTGGTGGGGTCTTGGTGGGGTCTTGGAGTTGTGGGGGTTGGGTGTGTGAGGGTTCTTTGGAGGGCTTGGGGGGTTGTTTTGCCGTTGGTTTTTGGGGAGGTTTGGTCTTGATGGTTTGATTTGTGAGATGTTTGGAGATTTTATGGGCCTTTTTGGGGGGGTTAGGTTGGGTATATTTAGAGAGCCTAGTTCTGTTGTTTGTATTCGTTGGCATCGATTTTCGAATATACTTGCCTCCAGCCTTATGCTTCTATGACGATGCAGAATTTGCCATCATGGCGCCTGAATGTCTTATGGCTAGCCTTATCACGGTTGGAAAAGCACCATTCAATATATGTCTCATCACAGTAGTCTACGCAGGAATTCGTCTGATCTTTTGGGTTTTCTGAATTTTGCAGATGCGTTAAATCTCCTATTGGCGAGGTTCCAATTTCGTTTTGCTATATGGTTCTTGGGTGGTTCTTGTCATTTCAGTGCGTCTCTGGTGTAAATATAGCTTCAACTTGTTATGGATTTGAGCTCAGGATGCGAAATAGAATACGTGGTTTTGGCCATAGCTTGTTGAGGTTTTTGTGGACTTCGCTTATTTTGTTACGTATATTGTTGTGGGCATTTTAATGTTTCCCGAGATTTTTGCGAGTTCAGTGGGTGGTCTGAGAGCACGTAGTTGGTAGCCATTTTGGCAGCGTGCTGATAGATTTTATAGTAAGTGTATCTTTTTAGTTACCGTTTCAAGGCCGTTCAATTATAAGCGGTTATAATCCATCTAAAATCTTAGCCCTGTAGGAGATGTAACGGACAATGTCCATTTATAACACTAAAATAGTGTATGTAAATGTAGGTTTTCTTTTAGCAGTAATATAGTAAATAGGGACGGACAAATTCTACCCATTTTTTAGTGAGACGAGAGACGGTAATAAGGTATAGAAACTGTCTAGGGAGGGATATTGTCCGTTATATAACGGTAACTATAAGACCTTTACTTTCCAGACGCCAGAGTGGAACGTACTTCGAAGTAAGAACGTGCCCCGAAGTGGATGCGATAGCTGGGTCAAATGGAGGCTCAGATGCTTGGAGAGGATACTTGGTTGGCCAAACTGCTTTGATTTAAAGGGAAAATGTCGAAAGGGTGGACCGTTTTCTCCACTCTGGGTGCACGTCTTTACGTTCCACTCGGGCGTCTGGAAGGAATAAGTGTACTTTTTTTATTTACTTGTTTTAAACAGCGTATTAAATTCGAGTAGCTGAGTTGAGTAGTGGCATCTAATCAACTCAACTCGCCGAGTACTCGATTAACTCATGAGTATTACGAGTAGTGTCTGCCCGAGGCCCCGTAGAGCGCCCGAACTCGCTAGCCGGTCTCCGGGTCGGCGTTCCACGCCCTCCTGCTTAGCCGACCTGGAGTGCCCTTATGTATAAGGAATAAGATTGTTTCTTTATATGTTAGTTACGATTTATATAACAACTTATTCTCGAGTATTACTCGAATAGTTAAATCTACTACTTCACTTAACTTAACAGAATTACCTAATCATACTCCCTTAACTTAACTCTAGTAGTACTCGAGTTAAGTTAAATAGATAAGTAGTTTCATTAATATAATACTGTTGTGCTGGGTCTACTTTCTCTTTTGCTCCACTTCCTTATTTGATCCACTTATAGTTCCGCTGCCTAAATGCTTCATGTCTGCCTAAACCTTACACTCTTTATATAAACACCTTAGATAGCTACCTTTTACAATGCAATCAATTCTCCATGACCTTCAGTACCCAATACCCTTTCAACCCAATAAATACTTATTTACGTGTTTACTTTTTTATTTACTCATATACTAAGTAATATCTATCTATCTATACTAAGAGAGGAGGGAGGGGGCATAGGGGTATAGGGGTAGAGACTTATAGGACAGAATATTAGGTAGGAAAGACAAAGCACTTACAGGTAGTTTGTTGAGGTAAAGGGTAAGGGAAGGCTCTACAATCTAGATAGCAGCTCGCGGAACGCTCGGGTAGCTTGAATTGTTATAAAATTTAGTTATCTGGGTAACGGGAGCCGACATTGCCGGTTCCTAAGCTCCTAGTAAAAGTATATCCGCTTAGCGCTTAGCGAGGAGGTCAAAGTATAGTAAAAGTATCTCCACTTTTTTGTGCTCAATTAGTTGGGAACCGACATTGTCCGTTAGTATCTGACCATGTCCGTCCCAAAGTTCCCAAAGGGTGGAATGATTGGCTTGTATCAACACATACGTTTCTCGACAGAATATCCTATCTCCTCGACGGTTCGGCGTAAACGCTGACCAGGATTAAGCACCCTCACGTAGAATTATTATAACGCATAATTTCAGGTCAATTTTGACACCTTGGCAATGCCAAGCTATCAATTGTACCGTTTTTCAGTAAGGAGATATCGAGTCACAGGACTAGAACGTGACTATATAATTCTAATATGTCTATTTAATCGTTAAAATAGAAGTACTTCCCTTTATATTATATACAATTATATACTAAATCTTAATCGGGAAGGATTAGGTAAAGAGCTTATACTAAGCTGTCATTTATATTAGTAGACGTTGTAAATCTTAGTACGAATCTATAGGTTCTTTTTCTACCTAGGTTAGCACGTCATTGACCCACTTTAAATTTACGCCGAACCGTCGAGGAGATACAGTACTGGCACAAGCAGATACTAAAAGCGAAGTGAATACAGGGGTTTAGCTATAAGGACATATTGTGTTATATATCGATATTAGCGCTTGATATCCTAAAGCTACAAGGCCTTTGTGACTGAAGAAAGATTTCCTTTTGGTCGTAATAGAAGGCTCTGTCACGTTGGACGTCTACTACAAATAGGATTTACATTTGTACGTATTTCTTGATGGGCTCCAGTTCTTAAGTCTTTTTCTTTCTCTAAAGATGTTGCATAAGATGATGTTGTAGTCTCTATTTATGGTGTTGGGTTGTAGAGTTGGCTCAAATCTTCTTGGTTTTTGCAATTTGGCTGGTTTCAAGGTGTGAACATTGGGATTTCCAGGTGGATTTATTAAGTGGTCTTCTCTTCAAAGTAGCTTTGCTTCGGGCTTGATAGACCTTTATGCTGAGTGTTCTATTCTACGACCATATTAAAATCAAACCCCCTAGAAACGGTGATCCAAGATATAGTATCAATTAGATTAAGCCAATGCCCAGTACAAACTGAATAATGGAATTGGCTACTTGAGTAGCTTCTTGAGTAGGCCAGTATCTAAATGCGCTAAATTTCAGCCATTGGCCCTCAGAATTCAGCGATATCCCCCCATGTTCTGAACAGTCATTTTCACTGTTACATCTAAATAAACAATTTTTCTCCCTAGATTTACCCGTCCGATTAAAGATTTGCCATGGCCCGTCAATTGTGTTTGAGCCGAGTACACTGCGGGATAATTCGTGAGCTGTTCTAGGGTCATTGGCTGCAGTAATACAGCTTTGTGCCACCTACCCAAACTCCAAAATGAGCGACAGCAATAAGAGCTCATCGTATTTACAAGAGTGGGTCCCGCTTGAGAAGAAAAATGGCAGCGCAGGCAAAAAGAATGCCTCGCCATCGGGAGTGTGGTATTGAGTGTCAGAATTTGCTTTAAGCCTGCATGAGACTGCATGAAGAGAACTCCAATCAGTCCCCGGCCAAATGATGACTGCTCACGAGGCTGCTCGATAGGCGGAAACGAGGGGGCTATGCATCGAGGCTGTCCTTATTCCTACCAAAAGCTCCTCCCCCTTCATCTCTATCGTTCTCTGTCTGGCTGTACGGCGCGGTGTATCTCGTCAGTTTACTAAACGTCACTCAATCTATAGCTTGTCATCAACGATCTTCCAATACCACCCTGATTGCGATAATGTCTGGCCTCGAGGCAATTGCAGCCCTTAGTCTTGCTTGTAATGTCATGCAGGTCATCAGCTTTGGTGAGTTTTTGGTTTTCTGGTTGAATGTCTCATGTGAAGTATGCCAGACAGAGTGCATTCTAGCAAATGCTGTATGAATCGTCACGTCTTCTATGTCTCAAATTACCCCAGCAAACGTGTACTGACTTTGAGGCTCTGTGGGTCGCGAGACCATTTCGACCTGTAAGCGGATTTATCGTGATGGTTCTAGCGACGATGGACTTTCCAGCATTGCAAGTAACTTAGACGATGCATCCTATCTCTCCGGGAATCTTTGAGCAACCTTCCTCAGTCAGCCACAAGAGACGAGACGAAGCTCATCCAAATGGCGAAAGAATGCTCGGACGCATCTAAGAAAGTTCAAGCCGAGGTGAAGAAATATTCAAGGAAAAAAGGAGGAAGACTCGAGGCAGCGAAGTTGGGCTTTAAGAAGATTTGGAACAAGAGAGACTTGGAGAAGGTTGAAAAGGTGCTGAAGGAATGCCAGGCTGCGATGGAGAATCGAATTCTGGTCCGAATATGGTAAGTTGCTCGGTTTTTTGTTCTTCATAAGTATCTCTAGAACAATTACAACATTCTCGCGAACCCCTCCTCCCCCCCGGAAACGTCCGTTCTCTATTCATCCCCTGAAGAGGGCTCTCGCTAATAGATTGCAGTACCAAGCAAGATGCTCTTTCGTTGATCAACGATCAAAACTTTCAAGACCTCGATAAGACACTCAGAACCTTCATCCAGCAACGCAGTCTTGACCATACCAAGTTGGAAGATCTCATTAATACCAAAATCGTTTCTGTGAAAGAGACCGTAGTTCAACAACGGGAGATTGTTGAGCAACACACGGTACGAAAACATATGGACACACAAAACCTGGTACATGATGAGAGTAACAAGACGAGACAGCAATTTCTGGATACAGCGGCAGTGCAAATCGATCGAATGCAGAGAGAGAAGCTCTTGGGTAGTTTGAACTTCAGTCGTCGTAATGAGCGTTTGAATAATATCAAAGAAGCCCATTATGAGTCTTTCGAATGGCTTTTTGGAACATCCAACAATTCTGACACGAGCGGGACTTCTAGCGACTCTACATATGATACCACGAAAGAGGGTTTGGTTGTCGTGGGTCAGATTTGGAACGGCGAGAACATATACGGCCAAGGTGACGATGATTGGGTTCTAGAAAATCTCGTGGAAGAAACAAGACGTATAGCCTGGGCCAGCTTCAGTAGTTGGCTGGAATCCGACGATCAAATTTATTGGATAGGCGGCAAAGCTGGAGCTGGCAAAAGCACCCTCATGCGTTTTCTACATTCGAACCCAAAAACCCCAAGTCTACTCGATAACGAGCGAAGGTTTAACACAATCTTACTCTGGCATTTCTTTTACCTGATGGGAAATTCAATGCAACACAGTATTAAAGGTCTTCTCTGTAGCCTACTTCATCAGCTTCTACATATACGTCGACAAAAGATTTCTTCGAATTCCATCAATCCCGCTTAACCAAACGATAGCAGCTAGAATTCCAACTACTCCGCTCTCCTCCCAGGAGGTCTGCCCCTCTGGTGGCAGAGATATATCCGTTAAAAGATCACGTGAAAAAAATTTCACGCCCCCTTTCCGACCTTACACGACCGCTCCACCACCAACGCCGCTACTATGGCGACCCAAACACAGTCAAACCCGGAATGGCAACAAGAAGTCATAGAAGGAACAGCCTACGAACCCATGCAACTCTTCAACGAGCCCACGCTCCCCACCAGCCCAATTTACCCAATTATCACCCTGGGAACTCCAATCCCCCAAACACCTAGCGCCAATGGCCAAGACTACCTCCTAGGAGGCTATGCGCCATCCAGCCCAGTTAACCACATCCAACGAAACCAAAACAACCCTAGCTTTATAGACATTAGCACGCCAAACAACTCCCAAAGAATCAGAGAAACCCAGCCTCAAGCCAAAAGACAAAGAAGCAACCAATCCTTGAACTTAACCTCAAAATACGCCCTCATGTCCCACCCAGAAACCTCCGATGACGCAATTATAGCATCTAGGTCCCTTCTGTGTAAGGCGATTGAGCTTGAAGACAACCAGCCCAAGAAACTCGCTCTCATGGACCTACTCAACCTCTTCCGGGACTATACCGAGGGAAAACCACTCAAAAACACAATTACCACCCTTACCAACTCAGTCAACAACCTAGAGAACATCGCAAGGCGCCTTCCTAAAAGAAGCTACGCATCGGTAACCACAAACAACAAACCTACCACAGACACAGACACAGACAACAGTACTCAAGGCCTCATAGACCGGCAACTCAACCACGCTCCTCCTCAAAAAACAAACATGGACAAGAAGAGAGACGCTTTTAAAAAAGCTGCTACTGAGAAAAAGAAAGCCATTAAAGCCCGGCGTCTCATTCTCATCGAAGACCACCTTCAACCATTTAGCGACTTACAACCAATTACCCTCAGAGACACTATTAACAAGGAATTCAAAACTCGTTTTAATGTCAGCCCCACAATTAGCACAGTCTCCAGATCACGAAACAACAACCTTGTCCTTACAGCAGCAGAAGAATACAATGCTAAATTCCTGCTTGACAGAATCAGAGCTGTCCAAAAGGTACTTAAATTCAAAGAAGCAAGAGTCGACGCTATCAAACCAAGTAGTAATCCACGGCATCCCAATTAAAGAATTCAACTCTCTCGCTGGCCTAGCACAACTCAAAGATGAGATCCTCACTTTTAATAAGAGC